CTCAAGACGCCATTGTTTTCGGTCTTCAATTCCTCACAGGTCACGTGGTACAGTTCCCGTTCTATAAGTGTAGAATTCTGTGGTTCAGATGAAGCGGTTGTCTTTGTTTTGAAACTCTCTTTCGTTTCACCACAAGAGAAGAATAGGAATAGCACAGTTTGTTAGTTTCACTTTTATTATGTATTTTCAAACAAGTGAAACTTTGATTGCAAAGTCCGCACTTTTTTTAAGAGGGCGCCACCGAATATTGAGGACACTTATTTAACTGGCTCAATTTTAGAGGGGTGAACTATCTTGTTATACACGATCTTTGTCTTGGCCAAGATATCAATCGATAAAGTAGCGCGGTCCAGCTGAGCGATTATCAAGGCTGTACTGTGAGCATACTTTTCAAAATCTAAGGGCTGTACGAAGGGAGGGCCGTACGCACGAGGGCCGTATAGGCTATGCGTGCGGGAGGGATGGCCGTACGCATAGCCACAGCCATTAACTTAATGAAATTCGACAAAATATTTTTACTCTAAATTATTCCCCTTTTAAATTCATAGTATGTTTGCATAAAAGCATGCTGTTTTTGTCATCCTACGTGCATGCTATTAGCCTGAGACACACACACACACAATCATATTTTCATACATTAGCCTTCCAGACACGGAACACCAGCAAAAATGTAGACACGACTTATCTTAATTTTTTTTCTCCTTGCCTACTGAACAATGATAGACATAATTCTGTGATAATGAGTTGTGCGTTAGTCTATGGAACCAAACGCTGCAGTACCCTAGGCTTTTAACTGCAACTTGCTCAATGAACAATACGTTGTATAATAAGTGCCTGCACTGGTACCTGCAATTATCATTATTTTAAAATCAAAAAGGCTCACACTGCTTTCAACAAACACTCAGATTCAGTGAGATTCTGAGAAGGTCAGGCCTATATATATATAAACCCCCCGGGGCAGTGCCACTGACTGTCGTGTCTTTAGGCCGTTCCCGAAGGGGGGACATTTCTCGTTCAAGCACAGTAGAATTGTAAATAGGCTGATTCATGTCACTCTCATAACTGTGCCTGATTTACAACAGGGAACTGCTGCTTTTTCTTTCTTAATCCTTACTATTGTCATTTTCCTCTACTTCTTTTGTATGTTTGTCACTCTCTTGTGACCTGCTATTTCCTGGGTGCCTTGATAGTCGAAGCAGACCTTGTGCTGTTGAAGCTAGAGAGGTGAACAGAATCAGTCTGATTCCCTGTAAAGACTTCTGTGTTGACACCCACCCCTTGGCGCTCATATGACCTTATGCAGTTGCGAGCGCCGTAAAATCCTCTACTATAAAAAATAAATAAAAAATATATATATGTAAGTATCACTGTATCACTTAATGGTACTGGGCCCAAGGCCATAAAGTCCAAATCAGTAATGACAAAACATAAAACATTTGATTACCTGCTGTTGGAGTTGCAGGGGGAGCGCAGGGATAGGTAGTTCCACTGTCTGAGATGTGGCCAGACTGCTTCTCAGACAGGTACACTTTTGTCAACCGCACAGAGTCTTCATCAATACTGTTGCTTGTTTTCTTCTTATGGAGAGTAACTTCGGGGTAAGAGGCATTTTTTCTACTGTATTCTACTATGGCAGCATTGAGGCTTTTACTGGCAAATGACGGCTTTTGATGAGAGCTCAGAGTATTGTGCAATTTGGATTTGTCTTGACTTTTTTTCACATTGGAATTGCCTCCGGGTTTTTCATGAATAGTAACTCCTTGGCAAAAGGCACTCAACCCATCAATGTCACCAGCAGCTGATGAATGTAGAGCACTCTGGGTGCCCTTGGTAAATTTGGGCAAGATTGTGAGTGTTGCAGTACTGTGAGCCCCTAAAGATGTGCTCTTCTTTTTCCCTGGCTTTTTTTTCGATGCTGTAAAAAGAAATTATGGGTTCATTTAATCTTCATCACATAGCACAAATACAACAAGCTGAAGAAAACACTTATTTTTTCTGACTCTCAGATGAATTCCCCCCCCCCCCCCCCAAAAAAAGAGAAATTTAAAAGTCTGAACATGTAAAACGTGATTGAAAAGAGCACCCAGTTCTCTATCCTACCTCACTCATATTCATTGCTTGTCAAAGTACACCCCCCAAAAAAAACAAAGGCAATTTACAAACAGCTACATGAACCGCTTAAATCACTATTACATTCTTTTTCTATAAGTCAACAATCTATAAATTCTGTCAAAAATACTAGCTAAAAATTCAGTATCATTGGAGAATATACTTTACTTAGCACATTTTAAAAGAATCAAGATATTTGTATAGGGTGTCCTAAACTCGATGAGTACAAAAAAAAGTTAAAATTAATATAACAAAAACAACTTAACATACAGCAGTCTTTTGGTAGAAACATGAAGGAGCCACCTGGAGAGACAGTTACACAACTTATGACAAGAAAAAGGAATCTCATTTGAAGTTTTAGCTTTTTAGATGTTCTACATAGCCCTAGCCCCATCACTCGCACTGCATTTTCATGTTGTGACTAAAAAACATAAGGTGTGTAGCTCTAGTGTTCCTGGGTTTAACTTTTCCAGTCACGAAGAAATGAGCCTCATTACTTAAGTTGTCCTGAACCCCCAAAGAACGCAGTAAATCATGGTAGACTTATTAGTTTTAGTTTAGTAAAGTTTTACAATGTTCACAACAGCATAAGGTCATATGAGCCCACCAAACAAGTTGGTTGCATTTACAATAGCTCACTGCATGATTTGATTTTGGTAATATTTCTACTAAAATTTAAAATATAAAAAATTCGAGGTAAAAAATGTCTCAGTTTAAAGTATCTTTTAAAATAATGTTTAAAATTTTAACAACGCTATTCATAATTTACTGTAAATGCAAATGGCTTTTTATAAAATCAAGGATTCCGCTGGGGTCAACGACGGAGAACAGATCTTGCAATTCTTTGCATTTAATTTAAAATACATGTATTAAACAACATTTCCTTCGGGTCTCTCCGAAGTCTGGACATTCTGTTAAAATGTGTCTAATGGTAAAATCATGGCAGACTTTGTTTTAGTTTAGTAGCGGTTTGGCAGCGCTCGCAACAGCATAAGGTCAGATGAGTCCACCTAACAAGTTGGTAACATTCACAATAGTTCACCGCACGGTTTGATTTTGGTAAATATTTCTACTAAAATGTTAAAATGCTAAAAGTTTCTTCGTTTTAAGTAGCTTTTTAAATATTACATTAAAAATTCTAACAACGTTATATTATTCATAATTTACTGTTGTAAATGCCAGTGGCTTTTATGAAATCAAGGATTTCAATGGGATCAACTACGCAGAACAGTTCGCAATTTTTTGCATTTAAAATATTTCCTTCGGGTCTCTCCAAAGTCTGGACGTTCTCTTACCAAGTGTCTAATGGTAAAATCTGTGTTGCATCGCATCCGACACAGAACGTTTTCTCATCTCCCAGAAGGATGTATTCAATTTGTGTGTCAGGGAGGTGTGTGCGATGCGTAATCGAGTACAAATCGACTTCGTCTTTGCAATTTGCCATAATGCCCTTAAAATCAAAGGGTCAACCGCGGCAATTTTCACAGTGCCCTTGTTTTTTGCTTTTTAAAAGTGTGACGCCATGAAAATAAATTAATATTTGTCCTGTGCTGTCACTTGTGGACAAAAAAAGAAAAGAAAGTTATACAAGCGTCTCGTCGGGTTCCTCACCGTGACCGGTCAGTGAACCCGCTGCGCCTTCGCATCACAACACGGCACTGTGTGAGCACCGGTTGTTGGGGTCACCAAAGTTCATTCAAAGTCTGAACGCCACAAAGTATGAGACTCCAGAGAGGGGGGAATTATTGATTTAAATTTTTTTAAATATACACTCGTGGAAGAGGGGGGGGGGGGGGGGGTGTATGAAGACATCCTGTCAGACTTGTCTGAAATTTCATCAAAGCTTCAGTCAGACACTGCTTGACAATTGTGTCCATTTTGTCATGGCTAGTGCAAACACACTCACATCAATGATAACCAAACCTCAGCAGTGTCTGAAAAAAGCTCTGGATGAAAAAGAAGACTGCAGAGATATGAGAGAAAGTGCGAGGGTGATGATTACAAACAAACCATGAAAGATGTGTTGGATTAGCTGGTGCTGTGCTTGGAAGAATATGAAAGATTTTCTGGCACATCAGAAGGTAGTCATAAGTCATATTATGACATGCTGATTGTTTAGGTCTTTTTTTTTATATACAACATACTTTAAAACATGAATTTTCAAAGCTTGTTTTCACTTATCACAGTCATAACCTCATACGGTATAACTGCTTGACAGCAGTTTTTAGTTATTCATTCTTATATTTTTTTCCATATATACAAGTTCATAAGTTGTTTTCACTCCTCATTTTTTCTTTTTCATACGCAAGTTCAAAATTTGTTTTCATTTACCATTATTTATTTTTCTTTTATAACTAAACTACCTGTGAACCACTCTGTTTGAATTTCATTAATGGGCTTACCTAATTGGTCATATTATTTACTGTTTTCTATCGTGCCCTATCATGTCAACAGTTATAAATGTATTCTTTCAAATTAATCCATTCAGTAAGAGCTAGTCATAAAGGCATTTAAAAGTCAGATGCAATCGTGATCATTATTTGATTTAAAACTGTGCTTTTTAGTGCTTTTGTTTTGATGCGATTTTACTGTGATTTACTTAGTTTTCATTAATGATTTTACAATTTTTCCGATAACTCTATACTTTTGTAGAGAGCAATAATAAATTGTATTGTTATTTTTTATAAACGTTGGGATGCACGATCCGGTACTACCAACTTTAATCAACAAAATGATCACCTATAATTTTTGCCTTGGTGTCCTAGTAAATTGCCTCGGTGCTCTCTGGTTTTAGGCCCTGTACTTGGCAATTATCGAAAAAAGGTTTCTTTTACCTGGAGTTCATTCATTTAATGAAGAACTATCAAAATAGGTTCACTTGTTTTGATCTTTAACACATTACACCCTAAGAGCCTGGACGGGAAGTCCATTGTTAGATCCTAAGCAAGGGGAAGGAACCCACCTCCCGTGAATACAAGCGTTTAAAAAACACATTTTAAAAATACTAAACAAATTTTTAAAATCCTGAAAAAATAAAAGTTAAAAAGAAAACTGAATGTAGTTTCAATTCAGAAAAATATAACTTTATGTATGCGCAAACTGTTGTAAATGTTCTAACTTTAGTTCCATCAAGGTGTCTGACCCGTCACTCTCACTCTCAGCCTCGCGGTCGGGGCCTAGATCTAAATTCTAGATTTTCTACATCTGATCAATCGGAATCGCCCCCAAACTCTTGTTACAACGTTTTCATCAAAACCTGTGCCATCTGATTTGTCATATGCTTGTTTTTGCTAAAATCCATCGTTATTTCTGTTTTCTAACTCAATTGTGTCGCTTTTCAACAAGTCGAGACACTTTCGAAGTGTCTGTAACGTGATCGCACTTCGATCAGCTCTAATACTAACGCTACTTGCCCGAAAATTTCGTTTTGGTATCAAACGAAAGAAGAAACTTTTTGAAATAACTATGCAAATCAAAATCTCGGCCCCAGAATCTCGAAAAGGCGAGACTTCATTTCTAAAGAAGCTTGGTCGGCCCGGGCGGTTCCGGGCGAGTCAGGGTGGAGTGCGTAAGGGAATTCCCGGGCGATCCCGGGCGAGTTAGGATGTCTGTCAATGACCAGTTTAGTACCAGAGTTTACTGTAAAGTATTTCCTCAATTAGGTTTTTTCATAAGGCCACCTCTATTCTCACCCCGGGTGAGAATAGTGCAGGCGAGTCTTTTGGCTATTCTCACCCGGTGCGCGTTCACCGTTATAGCCTAGATCTAGGCCAACCAATTTTGCGTTCACCCTAAAACACAGAATTCTACACTGTGATAACAGAAAAATTGTAGGCGTGAACAAACGTTCCATTACTACTGTTAGCCTACTAAAAGCGTACAATTTTGTCTGTGGGCAGTGGAGAGAGAGAGAGAGGAGTAGCGCGAGAACTTCCGGGCAAAACAAAATGGCGACCTGCGTAGTTCTGCTCGATTCGAAAAGAGAAAAAGCCATAGCATCTTTGTAGTCTATAAAATTAGCTTACTTTTGTGCTATAACGTAACCTTTTCTTTGCCTTTATCCATTTGATCATCCACATCGATAGAAAGTATTCCGAAATTAGGAAAAACAGGTCTTGTTTCACACCTGGTGAGAATAGCCTACGGTGGCAAGTCTCACCCGGGGTGAGAGGTCGATCGTATTTCTATTCTCACCCCGGGTGAGAATAGCCACTTCCTTTTCATACAGCAGCAATAATAAAAGCATTGACAAATAACAACGATAACAATATCTCTCACATTTCAATGATTTTCGTCTTGCTCTGACGAAGTTCTTGTCCACACAAGGTAGTTCGTCCGTTTCTTCTTTCACCTTGTCAGACACAGATGAGCCACGGCTGAGTATTTCCTCAATGGAAAGATTTCCCAGCTTTGAGGTGGTTTCACCTCTCAAATTTCCAGGAACTGATGCAGGATCTACAGTCCATGCATTATGATTAGACGAAGGTCTATTTTGTATACTTGAGAGCGATGATTGTTCTGAGCCGTTGGGTACATTTAACAAAACCGGAAGACATGTGTTATTTGAAGAACAGTTAAAATTTTGAGATGGCGAATCCTCATTCGCTATCCTCTTTAGAGCTTCAATATGGCTTACAAGAGATAGCTCTTTCAGCTCGAAAAACCCATCAAGAGGAGACGGCTCGTTCAGATACTTTTTCAACACCTTGGTTGTCATTGGAACAGATCTGCTTGGAAGACTATGTGTCAGCATGATAGATAACTGCGCAGTAAACACAGTCTGGATACAAAGATGTAAGTCATGCTTGATCGTTCAAAAGCAAAAAACAACGAGATTTTCTGGTGGTCCTTATTTGTATGGATAAAACGTCCATCTTGTTTACAGCACCCTGACAACAATTTAACAAAAAGTAAGAGATTGTGTATTTCTGACAACCTGACTTCTATGCGCAAAAAGATATTTCGCATATGTCTTGAAAATACAAATTGAATGAAATGTTTACTTCCGGAAATAAATGTTCAGCCCATTCTTCTGCCTAGCCTAACAAGCGCAAAAAATTATAGAAACGCTGCTCGGAAGTGGTAAATGGGCGTGTGTGGAGGGGGAGCTACTGCGATAGACTTTACGTAAACCTATACCATCAACTTCCTGTGTTTTTTTTAAAGACAGTTTTAGAACAAGCACCATGCGGCCGCTTACTACAGAAGAAACGAGCACGTTTTTCGATAAATTGTCCAAATAGTAAGTCTGAATAGTTTTTTCCTCAACTAAACTGGATGGTAGTGTCTACGTCCTCTTACGTTAGAGAACGTTATACAAACTGTCTACGTTCTCATGTTCTGTTCCAAGCGTGATCGAATCCCGCCCCCGGTCCTGGAAGGTCGGCCTATTTTTTTGGGCCGGCACTAGATCTATTTCTCCGAACGTTCGGGAAAATAAAGCTGGGCACTATTTCTCCGAACACTCTGAAATATCATCCTTTCCCGCAAATTTCGGATATTATATAGATCTATAATTATAGTATGGGCCTACCAAAGATTGTTCGTATACAATATGGTTCAATCGGTCCAAAAAATGTCCGCCGTAAATATTTATATAAAAAAATGCTACAATTCCAAACAGTTTTTCGCTATAGATATGACGTGTTGCCTATGAAGGGTGCTGCTCTTAAACGTAATGTGTTGTGTTCACTCGTGTGCTGTCTAGATCTAGATCTACGGAGGGTTAAACGACACATAGAACTGGCATCTGCGTTTGTCACTGCTGCGACCAATGTACTGACACTGGCAAGCCCCTTAATGTGTGTGATTCCATAATTTACATGTAATATCCTGTACTTTTTTTAAAAATTACGCACATTTAGGGTTAAAACTGCCAATCTTTTTCGGACAGGTGGACACACGCCCTTATTTGTTAATGTTTTTTGTTGTTTATGGGCTGTTCTAATTTTTATTTCTTTCTGTTGTGAAACCTTTCTTTTTCACGTTTTTACACTCATCTAAAAATGTCATCTAGACTAGCTGTTGAAAATTGAAATAGATATAGACCCAAAAATTTGCTCCTGTGTGTGTGTGTGTGTGTGTGTGTGTGTGTGTGTGTGTGTGTGTGTGTATGTGCGTGTTTGAGTGTGTCTGTGTGTGGTAGTAAGTGGAGAGTGAGGAGTGTGTGTGTGTGTGTGTTTGTTTGTTTTTCGGGCTTTATTTCAGCCTTTATTCAGTAACAGTTCAAAGTATACAAAAATAGAAACACAGGATCCATTCACTCCAGGACTCATGAGTCGTTCGTCTCTTTCAGTTTCACTCTTTCATTCAATTCCCGTGTTCTCTCCCGCGGCTCATCCCCGTCCGCATGACTTTCATACCCCACCCCATCCCTCCAGGCACACACAAAGAAAATCTCACTTGTTCCCTGCGAACCATGGACAATAATATAGGCAAAACACCGCCTGTGCTGCATTCCTTTTGTTCATGAGCTGTGGACCAGGCCAGGGGTGGTCGGTGTCGTCGTCTTGTAGTTGCTGTCGCCTGTGGATACACTCGCACATTCTTCCTTTCACCCGCTTTCACTCACACTGTCTCTCCATCCACAGTTCAGCTCGTCATACGTTCAAAAGTTGCCCACTAGTTATGTTTAGTTAGTGTGTGTACATGTGCATGATGGTGGTGGGTGTGTGGTGGGTGTTACTACTGAAGGTTGTCTGTAGGCGGGCTTGCCATGCGGTACGTGTTCCTTCCCAGACCAGAGGCAGAATGAAAGTTGGCGCCGAACTCTCGCAATAAATAGGCAAAAAATCACGAGACCAGAAGCCGGAAACCGTTCGGAGAAATAAAGATCGGCACTATTTCTCCGAACGTTCGGAGAAATAGTCACTTCGATTTTTTTGGCCGGCACTAGATATATCTAGATTTCTAGATATCTAGATCTAGATCTAGATCTAGACAGATCAAGATCTATATCTAGATCTAGATTTAGATCTAGATCTAGATCTAGATTAGATCTATTTCTCCGAATGTTCAGGAAAATAAAGCTGGGCACTATTTCTCCGAACACTTTGAAATCACATCCTTTCCCGCAAATTTCGGATTATATAGGAAAGTGGCTATTCTCACCCGCCCGGAAGTTCTCGCAAGATCAACTCCTCCCCTCTTCTCTCTCTCTTTGTCTCTTTCTGAATACTGTCTATCGGTGTGGACGATCAAATTGACCAAAACAAAGTTAAAAAATGATGTTAAAACACAAAAGTAAATTAATTTGGTTGTCTACAAAGATGCTACGGCTATTTAACTTTTCGAATCGAGCCGAACTACGCGGGTCGCCATTTTGTTTTGCCCGGAAATTCTCGCGCTACTCCTCTCTCTCTTTCTCTCTCTCTCTCCACTGCCCACAGACAAAATTGTACGCTTTTAGTAGGCTACAGTTGTAATGGAACGTTTGTTCACGGCACAATTTTTCTGTTATAATAACACAGTGTAGAATTCTGTGGTTTAGAGTGAACGCAAAATTTGGTGAACGCGCACCGGGTGAGAATAGCCACAAGACTCGCCTGCACTATTTTCACTCCGGGTGAGAATAGAGGTGGCCATTATATAGATCTAGATCTATAATTATAGTATAGAGGCCTACCAAAGATTGTTCGTATACAATGTATGGTTCAATCGGTCCAAAAAATATCCGCAGTAAATACTTATATAAAGAAACGCTACAGGCTACAGTTCCAAACAGTTTTTCGCTAGAGATATATGCCTATGAAGGGTGCTGCTCTTAAACTTAATGTGTTGTGTTCACTCGTGTGCTGTCTAGATCTAGATCTAGATCTACGGAGGGTTATTGATAACGACATGTAGAACTAGCATCCTGCGTTTGTCGCGGCCGCGACCAATCAATCGTGGCTCGATTTTTGGGCATTTTTTGGTACAGTTACAGTTGTACAGTTTTATTTTTTCCTCTTTGTGGTGTTTTATTTTGTTAGTGTGTATTTTTTTCTTCGCAGTGGCTATTTTTACGGCGAGCCATAAAGATAGCCTCCCAGGCTATTTTTACGGCGTGCCGTAAAGATAGCCTCCCAGTGAGTTCCAGGCTATTTTTATGGCGATCCTCGAAAAGCGACCCTACTCCGCCTCTCATGTACGCGACATGCCTCAATGTATTAGATCTGGACCTATAGGATAGGGGCCGTTCAAAATATAAACTTGCACCTCAGAGGGGAAAGGGTGTCTTTGGCTTCTGTAAGAAAAGTGTAAGATTGGGTGGGGAGGTGAGATGAGCGTTTTGCTCATGACTGGGAAGAAAAGGTAAAAGAAAAAATGGAAAAATGCCAGTAACAACACCCAGATCTGCATGATCACTGCAGATCCCCGTTTGTTGTTGTTTTTTTGTTTTGTTTTGTTTTTTTGAGAGGGGGGGGTTACAAATAATTTTGAAATTATGATGAAAATTCTGTAGGTGGATTTCTTAATGTTTCTTTGTAACTTTGCGACTGTTTTGTTGATCTTTTAGTGTCTTGATGTCTTTTATTTGTAAGGCACGTACCTATTGCATTGACAACTGTCTCAATGTCTTCCACATATATGCGTTTCTTTTTAGTCCATATGGTTTGATTAAATTGTATTAACTGAAATGTTCTTCGTATTTTTTTTTTGGCTGTAGATATCTAATCTAGATCTAGATTAGTTATTTGCACAGGGTGTGCGAATACTAGATCTATGAAATTTTATTCGCACAGGGTGTGCGAATACTATGAAATTATATTCGCACAGGGTGTGTGAATACTATGAACACAGGGTGTTTCAAAAGGATGGAAATCGGCCAACCATATATGATTTCCTCATTTTTTCCCCTCATCGCGCAAGGACAAAGATCATAGGGGCTGGATTGAACTTTGGTGGACCCACTGTGTTTATAATATGTATTAATGTGCACTAGGCAAACAACGGACTTATACAGTCATGGGTCCTAATCGGCCACTACGCGAACTAGTTCCCGGCGACGCGAGGCGGAGTGCGTGAGGGCTGCAAGAATACCACGAGAGAGAGAGATAGAGAGTAGTGCTGGGTTTTCTTCAAACGTTAATCTGTTGTTTCTACGTACACGGTAACCGGGCACGTAGCCTCAGGGTCTACGTACACGGTAACCGGGCACGTAGCCTCAGTGTCTACAGGGTGGCCAGGGAAGTCGGAAATTTTTGTTTAGGTCAGATAAGTCGGATTTTTGTCGGAAAAATTTTGTTCCGACGGAAATGGTTGGATAAATGTCGGCAATAAAAGGAAATTTGAGGAAATCTGTAAGTTGCCTCGGGAAAGACCCGGGAAAATACTTAAAAGTTCTCGAATATTTGAAAACCAAATCCGATAACGTCCTTAAGTTCATTTTGTCGGTCGCGATCATTCGGTTTTTCCCGGTCTGAGAGTACGTTTCATGCGAACAGGCGGCTATGGCGGCAAGCGGAAGTGTACGAGTGACCCCGTGGCTCGATCGGGAAAATCTAGATCTACTTTCGCTTTCAATACCACCCTGAAATTTGCCGGTAAAAGTCTGATAACACAACATTGTTGTAACTTGCAGTTTGTGCATTACAAAGGCTGTTTCGCTATGAAAATAAATCAATATTTGTCTCTTGTGTAAAAAGAAAAGAAAGTTATACAAGCGTCTCGTCGGGCTCGCCGTCGTGACCGGTAACTGAACCTGCGCGTTTGTATGTCACACACATGATGATAGGGCGTCGAGTGAGTACCGCGAATGTTGGGGTCGCTAAAGTTCATTCTAAGTGCGATTTTTTAGCCTCACTATGAAATTCTGATCGTAAGGCGATTTATTACGATATTTACCGTCAGCAGAAAAAAATAAATTTTTTGTGCTCTTTTTTTTATTTTACAAGTCTTAGTGCTGACCTGTAAATCGTCCACCAATAGTCGGAAAACCGCCAATCTCTAAATCAACCCCCCGTCCCCCTAAAAGGATTGAAGTATGTTACTTGTTGTGAATTTAAGGACTGTGTACTGTGGAACTCAGATTTAACGAGCACGGATTCAACGAGAGGAGATAGATTCCCCATTTTTTTTTCTTCTTTAAAATCTATAAAAATAACCCGAATTCAACGTGCACTTAAATCAGCAAGCTCGGATTCAACGAGGTCTCCCTTCCAGGGGGAACAGCCCCCACAGACGTGGCTTCGCTTATTTTTCTCTCAGAACGAACTTTATCTATTCCCGAAAACCATCCATTGCACCTGCATCGTGAACTATTGTTCACTTACCCCGATTGAATACGACCAATCAGCGGCCTTTTTTCATACCAACACATGCATTGTTGGTATACGCACTTGTATACTCTGGCGTGTGTCGGGGTCGGATGGGTGGCCTGCTAACGTGTGACTGTGTCGGGGAGGGGGGGGGGGGCACCAGCGGTCCGGGCGTTGAACGTCGCAGATATAAACGCGTCACACAGTCTTTTTTACCCCTCAGCAACTGATCATTATTATATAAGCTAGTATTGACGTAGATCTACATAATGAATTGAGCGTTGGTCTATGGAATCAAAAGTTGCCGTGTGCTAGGCTCTACACAGCAACACAACTTTTTGGCAAAAAATCGAGATGACACAGGCCTGCATTTGAACAAATTGGTCTTTTTTTTACACAGCTCATATTATGCAGGCATTTCAGGCACTACTTGTTACTTCTCTTTACACATTATGTGCTCAGTGCCTGTAATAATCTACACAAAACCTCCTGTTTGCTATAACGAACACTCGAATAATGAGGTTTTAAGTCAGGCCCGGCGACCTAGTTGAATCCGAGTTCCACTGTATATGTTGTACTGGAGTTGAGGATGGAAATGGATTTGGCAAGAAATCCTTGATAAAAACAAATTACTACTGTCTCCAGAGCCTGAAATGCAACCCTAAATCCATTACATCAGTCATCTACCATTTTGTGGTTTAAAAGTTGAGTTTAAAGCAAAACTTTGGCCTTCACATTTATCTAATTTTCGATAAGCCCTATTTTTCCGTAATTAAGACATATTTTTGTTCGTTGTAATATAGTAATTTGAAAATGAGTGCACTATTGCTAATTTTTATGGGAAATTACTAATTTTCTTCATTGTCATTACTAAAAACCATGGAGATGGGTTGGCAGCCATGCTCTCGTGGCCGTGGGCTCCGTACATATTACAGAAGATTCTGGTTATTTGCCGTTTGCGTTGAGAGGCTTGCACCAAAAGTGCATGATTGTTTGTTTTTTTCCATAGTCGGGTCAAAAAAGAAAATTGAGATGACAGATTCGAATGGCATGGTTATGCTGATAGTGATAGGCTAGTCCTAGCATATCTACATTAGATCATATGTTCTGACTGTCATTTCTGCATTTTCTCGTGTGGAAACATACCCTCTCACATCTAGGCCTTGATCTACATAAAGTAAAGGTGGGTGCTTGGATTTTCTGATCAGGGGAAATAAAGAAAATTGAAGAAAATAAAGGTCTAGACCTACCCATCCAGAGTTCATCCAGTTTCTCACAGCCTGCATTGCGTTCCCACCCACCCCCTCCCATCCCTACTGTAGGCCCATCCTCTTGGCATATTAGGAGGCACACTAGATCTAGCTGTACAATGATTAAAAATATGTTAGGAATCGAGGATGGGTCTTGTGCTTCGTGTGAGATGGAGAAAAAGGAGAAAAATCTTCGCTTTTGGGGCCACCAATTGCTTGTTTTATTTGGTTATTGCGACCTCGTTGAAAGCAACTTCTGTCTCTCTGCAACCTTGTTGGAGCTGACGTACATTTACAAAGAGATATAGAGGAAAAAATAGGGGATTGCCTTGTTGAAGCTGACTTCTCGTTGAATGTGACCTTGTTAAATGCACACCCACTGTACAGAAAAGGACCTTAAATTGATTCTAGATTCATTACATGATGTCCTGCTGTCTTGGAAGATGGAGTTTTTTTTCCTATATGTGACCTTAATAAGGTCAGGTGGGGGGCTAGCTTATTTAGGCCATATGTGGCCTAAATAAGGTTATGGGGGGGGGGGGGGGGGTTAGCTTATATAGGCCATAGGCTGCCTAAATAAGGTCACCCTACAATTTATTTTGCATAATTTCTCTTCATTTTTTTTCCTTGCTCTTTCATCTTAAAAAAAAAATCACTGGAAATGGTTACAAAATTCACGAGTCAACCAATTGGAGAATTGGAGAAAAAAATGAAAACCCTGTACTGTGGGTCCCTGTTATAACAAATTTTGGCTGAGTCTGGTCTCTTACGCTTTATACAGTGAATCTACTTATAACGAGTCCAGAGATAACGAGAAGTCTATTATAAAGACACTATTCTAATTAAACCCCATTTTCTCCCCTTCTTTATCTTTGTAAATAAAATACTGCTTTAGCGCAATCAGATAAACATGCAAGTCGGTTATAACGGAATATTGCTGCTGCTGTGCACGGTGCATAGGCCTTTTATTCATAATATATTATGTAAAACAACGCCAGTTTAGAAACCTGTTGGTGATCTTGCGAAACAAGGAATGGGAGAGCCCACATGTGCCAAAAATAAAGGCCTTTGCTAATGGGGGGGGGGGGGAGGTCTGGTACGCACAGACAAGCAGAACGTATCGTGTGATAGGCCTGCCTTGTCTAGATTATCTAGGCCTACCATGCCTCTCACTTCTCCGATGCGGGGATGGAGAGGTCACAATGCTGTGGAGCGAATGTGTGGCGTATGTAAGTAGACGGAACACACCACAGGGTGTGGTGGGATGGGGGACAACACAGCGGGCGGGTTATCCTAGAGAACTTTATTTCTGATCGCCAACGCCGAGTTGTCAACGTCGCAAAAGCTAGAAATAGAAACCTGATTCGGTTTTTGATCAAGTCAGACCTAGAGGTCATGTTGAACAAAATCATCATCGGGGGAGATTACAAAAACAGAAAATCAGACTCATAGATGAGGTCTACTTGACTATTTCCCTTGAATTTATTACTGGATCTCTTATAATGAGAATCCTGCTATAACGGATGTTTCACACCAGTCCCATCCCACTCGTTATAACAGGATTCCACTGTACTTATAATGTAAAGTAAAATAAGTTCTTTTATGACAAACAGTTTGCTTGGCTATAACAGTGGTCCAACCACCCACAAAATCCTAAAACAAATTTGCAAGAAAGCAGTAAAAAGCAAATGGAGCAAAGCAAAAGCCAACATTGGTGGCAAATTGCACCTGTGTTGCCCACAGTATGCTAAGTTGATTGTGTGCAAACTATATGATGTGTTATAATACTGTGTGTGCAGGAGAGAGAGAGGGGGGGGGAAAGTTGGATACGCTGTAGTGTTGACACAAGTCCAGTGAGTGACATAGCATGACTTTGGTCTGGCACATCATCAGATTGCCTCTCTGTTAGATGACAAGACTTATGGCAATATAATGATGGAGTGAGAAGTAGTACGCTGCACACTAGATCTACCGCAGATCTATATATATGATATGTGTGCTCCTCTTTTCCCAACAGTGATGGCCATGCGAACAGGGCTTGCTATAGACTCTATATATATATAGGACTGTAGAGCATGAATGTGCTTTATGAATACAAGCATTATTATTATCATCATTTATGTGGCAATAGCTGATTAATAGGTAGAGGGTAATGTGTTCTCATTGTTTCATCACTTGTACCAGTGTGTGTAAACCGACATAATCCGTGTGCCTACAACAGGATCTGGCAAAAACAGGGACATCACTTCGGCTCCCCCCCCTCCCACACACACACCCTTTTGCATAATTATTTGGTAACTGGTCCACCCAACATCTGCAGATAATATATATTTCTATCCTTTTGTATTATCAATTTCTAGTATTGGGGAAAATATCAAGCTCCTGGTAGATCGTCAAGATGGAGCCTACTGTTTCCGGTTACACAAGGACAGAGTCTATTATCTCAGGTAAGATGTCAAAATATGTTGAACTTGATGAGAGTGAAGTTTTACAGGGAATCTGAACACTTCACTACAATACGAAATTAAACAGAGAACCCAGCACACGACTGCATTTGCAATATACACCCAGACACCATAAACACATTATAAAACAAGGAAAAACTCATAAAACCTTTTGGCCTCAGAGTCCTTGAGGAGCTCAAAAACATACTTTTCCAAACAAGACATCGAACAGTTTCTTTTCCCTGACCTCCCTCCGTGGCACCTAACAAAGACAAAAGGAGACTTACAGCTGACCACACACAACAAAGCAAGCACAAACACCAAAACATTTAAAGTAGAATACGAAAAACTCATAGAAAAATATGCAGGTGGCTCTAAATTGGACTCTGCTGTGGGCAAACAGTACACACCAAAGGAGACTCCATCCCGGAGCCTCCATTTTCTCTGCGGAGGCCACTGACATTGACATGGCACTGAACTCTAGAAAATTCTCCTAACAAATCTTTCCTTTTCCTATCTGACTCTGTCTTGCATCACCTTACTTACAAACTACATATTTTTACACCGCAAAATAGGTTACAACTAAAACATTTATGCTTTGAATGAAACCGGAAAAATATTGTGTTCGCATGGCCACCTAGCCATGTGGGCATCCAAGGAAACGAGTAGTTAGATCTCCTGGCGGAGGAATCCTTGTCGCTTCTGTTGGAAATAAAGTAAAAAAACTTCACCTCCAGTCTGTGGGAGACTCTTTGGAAGAATCAAGCCAACAACAAACTACACAACATTAAGCTGAAACTGGGTCCACGAGAACGTTCGGGCCTCTCCAGAAGAGATGAAGTCATTTTTACTCGATTACACATCGTGCACATGTCCCTGACACATAAATACCTACTTCAGGTATGAATTTATTACTGGATCCTTTTTAACGAGAATCCTGCTATAACGGATGTTTTGCACCGGTCCCGTCCCTCTCGTTATGACAGGATTCCACTGTATTGTGTTTGTGATGTCTACTTGTGTTTCAGCAGTGGTTCCATCCGGCCTCTGGACATGCCGAATGGTGTCTGTGCGTCTGCCTAAGAATTTTTTTAGCAATTTTAAAAACTTGGTTGAGTGGTGTCTGGCTGTTGATTTTGGAGATGTATTTTTGGAATGATTGTCTTTTACTCTCCCTGAGGCCTCTACGTGCCACAGCTCGAGCCTTTAAATAGTTTATCTTGTTTTCTGTGATGTTGTTGTTGACGGCCTTTCGATACGCTGCCTTCTTTTTCTTTACTGCGTCCTCGCATTCCCAAGAGAACCAGATCTTGTTCCTCCGGGGTTTTGTTTTTGTTTTTGGTATGTGTTTGTGGCATATTTCTAAAAGCTTTTCGTGGAATTTATTGTAGTTGAGGTCGAAATTAGGATTAAGAATCTGGGAACATTGATTGGCAAACCCGTCCCAGTCTGCTTTTTTGAAGTTGAAGCGTTCTGGGATCGGGTTGTTTTGGAGGCTATTGTTTTTGAGAAGAGTTGGGAAATGGTCCGTACGGTCATCCAGCACAGACCACTCAAGTTCTGGGACTAGGTCAGGGGTACAAAAGGTGAGGTCAAGGGATGAAGTGCCATAAGTGGCTCTGTTTCTGTAAGTTGAGGATTTATCATTTAAGAGACTGATGTTATTTTGAAATGAAAAGTTTTTTATTTTTCCTTTCTGGTCTGTAGGTTTGTCTCCCCAAAGGGGGCTGTGGGCATTGAAATCTCCTAGCGAAATAAAGGGTTTTGGAAGCTGAGCCTTTAAGTCATTTAGTTGGGTTATTTTGAGGGGGTAATTTGGTGGGATATAAACTGAGCAGATCATGATTGGTCTGTGCAGGGTGACCTGTACGGCAATAGCCTGGAGGGTCGTCTTAAGATGTACTTGTCTGTGGATTGTGTTGTTGTCGGTGTAGATGGTGGTATCACCGGAAGCAATCTGGTTCTCCGTGTGAATGTGATGGTATGCAGTAAATCCTCTTAAGTTTATGGTTGAAGCCCGGGGCGAATTTTGTTTCTTGAATACAGGCCACCCGTGGGCACAGTGTGGCCTGTAAATGTTGCAATTCTGCAATGGATGGTCGGATTCCGCCGGCATTCCATTGCAGGACTGCCATTATGATTTTTTAGTTTTTATTTTGGAGCTCAAAGGCCCCGGCTTCGAAGAAACACTCTGACTCCTCCTCGCGGGGGAGGCAGGGTGTTTTGTAGGTTGCCGTCCTGGATTGGACAGCGGTCTAGTGGGGGATTTGGAGGAGTGACAGACTCCGCCCTTCCCGGGGTCAGGCCGGGGAGGGGGGGTCGGAGCTGTCTTTCTCCATAGGCAGGGGTTTGTCTGCTGGAGGGGTAGGGGGAAGTGGAGCAGACCGAGGGGGCTGGGAAGGTGGGGGGGGGGGGGGGAGAAGGCCCACCTCACACTCCATCAGAGGGATGGGCTATGAGATGGAAGAAGAAGGAGAAGAAGAAAAAGGGATAGAAGAGGGGTGTGGGGGAGACGAAGGGGCGGAGGAAGAGTCCTCCCCGTCCTCCCCTAGGAAATATTTTAAATGCAAAATGTTGCAAGATCTGTTTTCCGTCGTTGATTCCAACAGAATCCTTTGATTTTATAAAGGCCATAGGCCTTTATGGAAAATTGCAAATTCAGTTATTTTGATTTTAAACAGGTTATCTTTTTTTAGATTGTTATTTTAGTAAAATTTTACCTCAAGTTTTTAACATTATAAAATCTGATTGTTGGCGCGAACCAAGTCGTGCAATGAACTGTTGTGAATGCAACGAACTTGTTGTTCGCGCGCTCATATGACCGTATGCAGTTGCGAGCGCCATAAAACTCTTGCTTTAAAAAAAAACCCAACCCACCTGTGTACTTTTGGAGAAAAAATAGTTTCCCTTCCCCTGAAAAGACTAATGACTGAAATAGTTTTATTGTCAGTGCTGAAAAATGTAGGCTCAGAATATTTGGCTTTAAAAATGTTTTTGCTGTGTATTATAGATTTTGCCTCAAAAGAAAAAACTTATAGGCCTACTTGTGTTGTGCTAAATATTAAGGAAGAGGCAAATTGTGTAATAAATTGTAGTCGTCTTCTGTTGAGGAAATCGTTATACAGTGGAACACTGCAACGGCACCTGCTACAGCGGGACCGTCCCTACAGCAGGACCTTACCGGAATCCCCTTTTTGTTCTCTCTATCATGTAAACTCAATTACCTGTGCTCGGATACAGCAGGAGAGATCGAGCGAGCTCTAGCTGTGGGGAAGGGAGTTTGGGGGCTGTAGGTGGACTCCAAACAAGCAGTCACCGGTGCGGTGTTGTGAATGGCCAGTCCAGTGAGTGATGAGTGAGGTGGGCCAGGCGGCAAAGAGAGATGGTCAGGTGCAGAGAGACGTGGCGGCGATACGTGAGCCACTCCAAAAGTGATGTGCTGTAGCTTAGAGGCTCTGTATGAGAGCGCAGGGTTGGTGATTTTAAAATATTTTTAAAATAAAAATTTTAAAAATCGATTTTTAAAATTTAAATCGGATTTTTATTTTTTTTTAAAAATGTCGACACAGTTTGGGATTTTTGGTGGCTAAAAGTAAGTTCTTTTAGTGCAAAATGCATTGTCTTTATTTTAACTAATGATTAATTTAAGCAAGTGCAATTTTAGAAAGCCTTAATCTGCTATATCAGTGAATTATGGCTGCAGACAAAAAATGAAGAAAATGTCAGTCTAAAAGGAAGGGGATGGGGGAGGTAATTATGCATAGATAAACTTGCATTTTATTACAGTGTGTGTGTGTGCACGCGCTTGTGTTTGTCTAAAAAGAAAAAGAAAATGCTAATTTCAATTATGAAAAAAAAAGTAAATTGAATACAGTATTATTTTACTACTTACAGTGACAGGGGGGAAAGCAGACTTTTAAGCATGATTACAGTGGAAACCATATATAACAGGCCCGGTAATAACAGGGATTTTTTAAATCCCCGTTTTTTTCCTACTCTTTGACTCAATTAAAAGTTATCGGCAATAACAGGGCCCCATCGGAGCCTAACCGGTTATAGCAGGGACAAATGAGAGAGAGATGGAGCAAGCCCACGCAAGCCATGCCTCTGCAAGTACACACAGCTCGTGAAGCGAGAGAGGGCTGGGGTGTGCTGCAGACCTCGATCTAGCCCAAAACCTAACAACACGCACGCGTAATGTGTCTCCAACGATGTCAAGCGCACGAGAAACTGCCTTTCAATTGACAAAAAATACGAAATAATCCTGGCTGTTGAGAAAAAGCAAGCTCCACTGGCAGAGATTTGTCGTTACTTCGACATTCCACAAGGGTCGATTCACACCGTTATCAATGATAGAGCGAAGATAGTGGCAGCATACTCCAATGGAAAGTTTGCTCTGGATCGAAAGAAGATGAGGCTACCTGATGCGGATGCTGTGGACCAAGCTCTTCTGGTGCGGTTTAAGGAGGCAAGGAGAAAGTTGGTGCCAAAACCCCTGTTGGTGGGTACTTGTGGCAAGGGAAACAACCCAAGAATAAGTACAGCTAGATTACCAGATTAGTCCACAATAAATGCTTACTTTCCTTGCATTTCTGATTTAACAGGGATCGGACATAACAGGACATTTTCTCTACTCCCACCATCCCTGTTATATCAGGTTTCCCCTGTATTTTAGTCTACTAAACCTTATATCTGTTTTATAAAATCAAGGAAAGGAATTCTGAATGTTTAAAGATGTAAAAACAGAATACATTT